TAGACCTTAAAAAGGAAAGTGTATTCGAAAACTTTATAATTAAAAAAATCATATTGGTACCTTTAATTGTGCCAACCAACCAAAAGGCTGCAGTGAATGTGTTACTCCTGATATAAAACCATAAATGACATGTCTTGTTGAACAAATAATTGAAAGGAACTAGATAAAGCAGTGGCATTGACATCAAACAACAGTAAAAAAATAAGCTTAGTTGTGTGGAAAGCCATATACAAAGCTTTTTTATCTAATATTGAGAAAACCCTGTGTATAATTATAAATATTATTAAAATTCAGAGAACTGTTTTCTTTGTGAAAATATTTGAAAAATGTAATTCATTCCTGTGATCAAATCAAAATTTCCATCATCATTTCTCCAGTCTTCAGTGTCACATGATCCTTCAGAAATCATTCTAGTATGCTTTAATGCTCAAGAAACATTTCTAATTACTATCAGTGTTACAAAAAAAAAGTTGTTTCTGCTTTACATTTTTGTGGGAATCGTTATACATTTTTTGATACAAGTTTCTACCAGAAGTAGACCTAAAAGCTTTGTAAAACTAGCTGATAATCATTAGCAACATCAAGTAAGTTGATAAATTAGCACTTAAGAAAGTCAGCAATATATACCGCCGATATAGAACGGTTGTGCAAATAAATCGGTCTGTTTTAGATATCCACGTTCTTCGGCTGGCCTGTGTTTGTTTGTTTGCTCTGATGCAGCTGAGTAAACAAACAGCATTTTGCAGGCTCCCAGCATCGTCCAATTAAAGCGTTTCATCAGCCAGAACAGGAAAATGGATGGTTGCAGTAGATGGGTGTAACAGCCTGGATTCTTGATGCACACAGACCTGCAGAACACTTTCATGTTTTCAAGGACTGCATTTTGCACCATACTCACATTCAGCAGAAGGAAAGAAAAAGAAAAAACAACAACATGATTTTAGCAAAAGGAAATAATCAACCCTGTACTGTGGGCTGATGTTACCACTCAAATGTTGACTACCCAGAACCCCCAGTGTGTCCTCGAAATGGCCGCAGCGCTGGGATGTGTGGCACGCCTCAGTGACCCCTGCCTCACAGCATCTGCTGAAGGAAGCCCTCTAATGAACCCCGAGCTCCACACACACACTCACAAGGGCAGTCAAAGCTAGGCTAGTTTCTTTCCTCAGCCTCTCATTTACTGCCAGCCAGGGTTGCTGCCTGTCCGGGAGAACACTTCCTCAAACTGGACAAAAAATCAAATCAAGCGAGTTGGCAGCAAATACAAAGTCTGTTGATCATATCGGCGTAAAATGTAAACTATATGATCACCCAGCTTTTTATATAAAGTTTGGATAGACAAGTATGTATCTTTATCTGCACACATACAGTATACTTACTCACATAGAGCAATATACTGTATATCACAAAATATAACTATATTAAATATAACTATATTTAAAGGACAACTCCGGCGCAAAATGAACCTTTGGTCTAATTACACATTGTTACCTAGTCAACCGTTATCTGAGATTTGTTTTCATGATTGCCGAATGTAAATAGTTTTATCTCTAAAAACTATAACGCTAGTATAATGCTAGTATATAGGGCATAGAGTAATGACAAATAAAAATCGCTTGTTATTACCACTAACAAGGCTCAAAATAGCCCCACACTAACACGACAGCATAACAAAGGTCCCTACATTCAAACCGAAGCATTGAGAACTTTGTCAGTGTCCATACAGTTTAATAAGCAGATGTTTTATACACACAGTAAATTTCGCGAATTCAGGAAGAAGCCATCTTGGAAAAATAGTCTCTACCAGTCGATCTACGAACGCCGATCCATGTGCGCTGGTGAGATGTGAATAAGGTGATAAGGTGAGCGCGAACAGTAGGCTACGTGTACATATTGAAGACAAGTAAACGGTTTGTGTTTGTGTTTCTTCTGGAAACAACGGATCATATGAGATTCTGCACATTTCAGCGCACTTGGATCGGCGTTCGTAGATCGACTGGTAGAGACTATTTTTTAAAGATGGCTTTATCCTGTATTCGCGAAATTTACTGTGTGTATAAAATATCTTCTTATTAAACTGTATGGACACTGACAAAGTTCTCAATGCTTCGGTTTGAATGTAGGGACCCTTGTTATGCTGTCGTTTTGGTGTGGGGCTATTTTGAGCCTTGTTAGTGGTAATAACAAGCTGTTTTTATTTGTCATTACTCTATGCCCTATATACTAGCATTGTACTTGAGTTATAGGCTAAACTGTTTTTAGAGATAAAACTATTTACATTCGGCAATCATGAAAACAAATCTCAGATAACGGTTGACTAGGTAACAATGTGTAATTAGACCAAAGGTTCATTTTGTGCCGGAGTTGTCCTTTAAACAAAAAACGGTAAATGGACTGCATTTATATAGCACTTTCAAAGATCCAATGGCCAACAAAGCGCTTTATGTTTGCCTCAAATTAATTCATTCACTCACTCATTCACACACCGGCGGCGGTGTCAGCCATACAAGGCGCCATCCAGCTCATCGGGAGCAGCTGGGGTTTGGTGTCTAGCTCACGGACACCTCGACACTTGGTCAGGTGCAACCGGGGATTGAACCACCAACTTTCAACGTTCAATAATTATTTAACCGGTGAACGTTCAATAATTTTAATAATAAATAAACACATACAAAAATCATGGACAACTGCTGGCTACACAAAACAGAAACTAAACATAAAATCAGGCCTGGTCCTCTCTCCCTCTTCACTGTCGTCGCTCCTCCTTTATGCCTTCGCTCCTCCGTGAGACATACAAGAATGCAGTTAATTCAAGGATGGGAAATCAATAAAAGTATTGTTAGGAAACAAGTCAATTTTAATGAAATATGAAATATTATTTAATCCGTGTATCCATGAAATATGGTGTCGTGCGTCTCACAGGTGTCGCTCATCGGTAATTACGCCTACGTGATTGATCGTCCTACTTGCCACACAACTCAATTTGACTTGATTTGTTTCTTAGATGTGCACAGTTTAGAATTGAGAATCTATAAGTGATAGAAAAAACAACAACATTTGGTTCAAGCTTTGAAATCTCTTCATGTCCCATTATCTCTACCTATAATTACCATGATTATGATGGTGATAATTATGATAATGATGGTGATGATTAAGATGAAAATTCATGATGACAAAAAGTATTTCGTTTTTGAAAGGAGGTGATCAACTACTCAAGAGTCTGCAGTAACACACTGAGAAGGATTGCTTATGCTTATTGTAGTTAGCAAGTAAAAAAATAAACAACTGCAGCGATCGGCCTGTTGATAATGAAGGATAGACTGTCAACACGAACGCTTAATGATTATGATCACCAATACACAGCTGTCTATGAAACAATGCTATAGTATGTTCATTTTAGCAGATGCTTTACAGTACATGTCAACTTCTAAACTGATTTTGTACATTATTGTAAGCATTAAACTTTTTTGTTTTTTCTTAAAGTCGGCAAGAAATGGAAGTTGTGATAGTCTTTTCTTCTATGTTGTGATGTACTGGACATCTACAGTAAGTGAAATGGTTTCTTGAACAAGAAAACGTAGGCTTTGATTTTGTCCATGGGGAATCGATTGAACGGTTGTGGTTTGCTATTGGTGGATCTCATGTGAGTGACGGGTTGCCCCGCCCCCACGCAAGTAAACACGTCATCACTCAGAGAAGTGAAGAGATGTCACTGCCAGAGGGAGGGGAAGTTATTCTGAACGAAGATTACAAGACACATGATTTTTTTTTTTATTATGTGCACGGATAATTCTTTTATTATAAATATTGTAGTATTCCATTGTCCATTTTGATTTTGTGGTGACTTTGAAAGTTTCAGTTTGTTACTTGAATTTTGTTTGTTTTACAGGAGGAAAAAGACCTTACATGATTTTTCTTTGGATTCAATTTTATTTTTGCACCTCAAAAAGCTGCAACTTTATCTGACATTTAATGTCCACTGTATATCCTCACATATCTCACATTAATACATTCGCAGTGAATGTTGGCTGGTGAAATTCCAGACTCTGAAACCATTCCAGCTGCTTGCATCATGGATTGAACCACTTGAATGAATCAATAGATCTTGTTTCCAGCACCTACAAACACACCTTATCTTTCTGTCCTTCCAGAACTGTATTATAATTAGAATTTCACAAATTATATTTTCACAAATATTACAAAGAAATGGCAAGTAACACATTGCATTAAATTCAATTTTGAAGTAAAAGTACTGAATTAGTATTTTCTTGAAAGATGTGCTCAATCTTTGTTTTATTTTATTTGTTTTATTCATTTACTTTGAAAAATCTTGTGCATCTGTTCATCTGTATCCTGCATGGTTCACACTGATATTATTTTATTTATAAATCTTTAGTTGAAACTGTAGATTGTGGTTGTTCTAAAAAAAATCTGAGTGTTCTGTTTAGAAAAAATACTAAAATACAAACATACTATTTTGATTTCCATTCATTTGTTTTGCGCATTCACAACACCGACGCCATTACAGAATATTGGACCCTCAAAATTGAGTAATAAAAAACGACTTGGCTACAGCCCAGGTGCTTTGGCTTTAGCTGGAAGAGCAGTGCCACGAGGACCACACCTGTGGATTCGTCCACCTGGTGAGCCAAACCAACTCCGCCATCTGCTCATTGTGTGCATTATTTTATGCCAGCTTGAACAAACACATAAAGGCTCGCCTTCCGGGTGTTGACCTTGGGGAACTTTTGGTGAGTATGTGGAGCGTGTGCTTGTGTACTGTGGGTTCCTGAACAGTACCTGTCCCACCGAGGAGGACTCCAGGTCCACAGCCCAGCCATCCATCACCCCGCTTGGAGTGAATACCAGAGCCCACCGCAGCCCAGACTGAGGGCTTGAGCCTGCCGTGATGCACATGCTGAAGCCTCAAAGGAGGACCGAAACAACCATCACCCTGGAGCCCAAGCATCGTGCAACATCTGACTACGTGCGTGAGCCGGCTACATTGTCTGTCCCTGTGGGGTCCCGTCCAGCACAGAGTGTCCTGTGCCCTCATTGGTCTCGTTCAGAACAAAGTGCCCTATGCCCCCATTGGTCCCATCCAGCACAAATTGTCCTGTGCCCCCACTGGTCCCGTCCAGCACAAAGTGTCCTGTGCCCCCAATTGGTCCCGTCCAACACAAAGTGCCCTGTGTCCCTACTGTTCCCGTCCAACACAAAGTGTCCTGTGCTCCCACTGGTCCACTGGTCCTGTCCAGTACAAAGTGTCCTGTGCCCCCACTGGTCCCGTCCAGCACAAAGTGTCCTGTGCCCCCACTGGTCCCGTCCAGCACAAAGTGTCCTGTGCCCCCCATTGGTCCCATCCAGCACAAATTGTCCTGTGCCCCCACTGGTCCCGTCCAGCACAAAGTGTCCCGTGCCCCCCATTGGTCCCATCCAGCACAAATTGTCCTGTGCCCCCACTGGTCCCGTCCAACACAAAGTGCCCTGTGTCCCTACTGTTCCCGTCCAACACAAAGTGTCCTGTGCTCCCACTGGTCCACTGGTCCTGTCCAGTACAAAGTGCCCTGTGCCCTCATTGGTCCCATCCAGCACAAATTGTCCTGTGCCCCCACTGGTCCCGTCCAACACAAAGTGTCCTGTGCTCCCACTGGTCCACTGGTCCTGTCCAGTACAAAGTGTCCTGTGCCCCCATTGGTCCCATCCAGCATGAAGTGTCCGGTGCTCCCACTGGTCCCGTCCAGCACAAAGTGTCCTGTGCCCCCACTGGTCCCGTCCAGCACAAAGTGTCCTGTGCCCCCACTGGTCCCGTCCAGCACAAAGTGTCCTGTGCTCCCACTGGTCCCATCCAGCACGAAGTGTCCTGTGTCCTCATTGGTCCAATCCAGCATGAAGTGTCCGGTGCTCCCACTGGTCCAGTCCAGCACAAAGTGTCCTGTGCCATCATTGGGTCCAGCACAAAGTGTCCTGTGCCCCCACTGATCCCATCCAGCACAAAATTTTATTGTGCCCCCACTGATCCCGTCCAGCACAAAATTTTATTGTGCCCCCACTGGTCCCATCCAGCACAAAGTGTCCTGTGCCCCCACTGGTCCCATCTAGCACGAAGTGTCCTGTGCACCCATTGGTCCCGTCCAGCATGAAGTGTCCTGTGCCCCCACTAGTCCAGTCCAGCACAAAGTGTCCTGTGCCGCCATTGGTCCCATCCAGCACAAAGCGTCCTGTGGTCCCGTTGGTCCCATTGAGCACTAAGTGTCCTGTGCCCCCATTGGGTCCAGCACAACGTGTCCTGTGCCCCCATTGGTCCCATCCAGCACGAAGTGTCCTGTGCCCCCATTGGTCCTGACCAGCATGAAGTGTCCTGTGCCCCCACTAGTCCAGCACAAAGTGTCCTGTGCCGCCATTGGTCCCGTCCAGCACAAAGAGTCCTGTGCTCCCACTGGTCCACTGGTCCATTGGTCCCATCCAACACAAAGTGTCCTGTGCCCCCACTGGTCCCATACTGCACAAAGTGTCCTGTGCTCCCATTGGTCCTGTCCAGCACAAAGTGTCTTGTGCCCCCACTAGTCCAGTCCAGCACAAAGTGTCCTGTGCCCCCATTGGTCCAGTCCAGCACAAAGTGTCCTGTGCCCCCATTGGTCCAGTCCAGCACAAAGTGTCCTGTGCCCCCATTGGTCCAGTCCAGCACAAAGTGTCCTGTGCCCCCATTGGTCCAGTCCAGCACAAAGTGTCCTGTGCCCCATTGGTACAGTCCAGCACAAAGTTTCCTGTGCCCCCACTGGTCCAGTCCAGCACAAAGTGTCCTGTGCCCCCATTGGTCCAGTCCAGCACAAAGTGTCCTGTGCCCCCATTGGTCCAGTCCAGCACAACGTGCCCTGTGCTCCCACTGGTCCAATCCAGTACAAAGTTTCCTGTGCTCCCACTGGTCCCATCCAGCACAAATTGTCCAGTGCTCCCACTGGTCCTATCCAGTACAAAGTTTCCTGTGCCCCCATTGGTCCTGACCAGCATGAAGTGTCCTGTGCCCCCACTAGTCCAGCACAAAGTGTCCTGTGCTGCCATTGGTCCCATCCAGCACAAAGAGTCCTGTTTTGTCATCACTCCATTGTGTGGATTTGCCTAGGCAAGTGGATCCCCTCACTCCACCTCCAGCCACTTATCCCATAGCTTCACCTCTGTCGACCTGTCGACTCAACCTTGGAACTGAGGCCTTTGGTTTAATTCCCTCCAACTTCCATGTGATATTTTGTGCCACTTTCCCAGGAATTGACAATGTTGTTCTTTTGCACAAAAGATAGAAACACTGATTTATTTGCAAATGTCTGGTTGAGTTCTCTTGTTACCTTCTGGGTATTTATACCCATGGTTCTGTTCAGGTCTCTGTTGCTTGTTGTTAAGGTATTGTTTTGTATCCTGTACTCACTGAGTATTTTGTATAGTTAATAAAATCTGTTGAATCTCCTTTGTCTTTGTGACTGCTAACCAAAAGCTGTGACACTGGCAAATCAGTCGTCTAATTTGCAGTAGTTTTCTGCTTTCATGCGTCCAACATACACATGATGATGGTTTTGATTGATGACCTCAGCTCCTGCATGCATTTGTGTTAGAATTAATTTTAAAAAATCACCTAACATAGTATGCTTGTCATGGTCTTCCTATTGGTAGTTTCTGCCCTTATGAATTCATTTTCTTGTTTTTTCTCAGTTGATCAAAAAAATTAAAACCATTTTATAAAGACTGCGCTCACAAGCCATTTTTGGCTGATTAAATATTTTAACATTTACTATTGAAATATGCATTACATTTTTTTATCTTGAGCACACACAATATTAAATAAAAATGTGAGGACACACACATAATATATTAGGTGTCCAGTGAATTGGACTGGATCCACGCTCTCCCCAACTCTCCCTCCATCTGAGGTCTTTAAAAATTAATTCTGTTGGCAGTGACCCTTTGGCCTTTTGCATCTCAGGCAATACTGCAGTTTCTTGCCTCCTCCCACGCTACATCAGTGCGCTCCTGCTACAGCTCAGCATGCTGTTTTACCCATCAGTCTGTGCTGTTTCACAACACCATCCCAATACACTCTACATAACTTCATAAAACAGACTTTAGTGGAGAAACACAACCTAAATAGTCCCATAAATGAGTCAATGATATTTACTTATCATCATCCTAAATTATACTGTAAATAGCAGAACGTTTATTATATGCACTTTATTTTCACCAGAGAGAACAGTTATATTATATTATATTATATTATATTATATTATATTATATTATATTATATTATATTATATTATATTAGCTTTTCAGGTCACGATCTTTTATACTGTTGGGGAGTGAAATGGCAAATGCCTCCAGTCAAAAGGTTTTGCCATGTATTTGCCAACATAACTTGAAGCAAAGGTATCATATTACACCATCATACTTTGTCAATTTCAATAAAAGCATTCGCTAAATAATTTTTTTTATTGTATTTTCTCTCAGGCAGGACACACATATACCTACAGTGTTTCAAACATAAAACATATCAAATCTGTTTCAGCAGGGCATACACTTGACACTTTCCAAAACAAAACAAAATGTGTTACATTATAATGAAATATATTCTGTTTTTCAGCAAAGTTTGCCCTTTAAAGAAAGAGCCAAATTATACATTTTACAACAATTTGTGGTAGTTAAAAATTCAGAATGTGACAGACATTGCTACACAGACAACAAACTTAACAAATTAATCATACTGGCCCATTCGGAAAAGTTAACTTTTGCATACTATTAAAAAGGAAATAATATACTTTAAAAGAAAACTTTAAAAGAAAAAAATTTAATACAATTAGTTGAACGTTTTTTTTTTTGTTTGTTTTTTTGTTTTTTTACCCACTTAGAGGTGAATTGTGTAATATTTAGGAGGATATGTTGACAGAAAAGTAATATCATATACATAACTATGTTTTGTGTAACTTAGAATGAGGCATCTCTATCTATACACTGCACTGTTTTACCTTGGTTTCTCTTCTTGAGTATTTTTGTTCTTAGTTTCCTCAGTTCTGTGTTCTGCGTCGTATCTTTTTTTATCAGAATGATACCCTGGTTATCTCCTGCATGTTCCATATTTGGAGTATGATTAAAGAAGGTTTTTATTCTGTTCCTCCTCATCGTGTGATTCATTGGAAAATTAAACTCTGCGCTGGGAGGGATCAGTGGTGGAACATGAAACAATGTGTGTGTAAGTTTGTTTATACAATGCAAACTCCTATACAAATAATTATTTGAAATATATCATTTCCGTGAAGCCATTGGGCCCTTCTGACCGGAAAAATTAGACTATCTGGGTATCTTTGAAACACTCATTTCAACATACTACGGTTTGGGACGCACTAATTCTATTTTCGAATACTATTTAGGATGGATGCGAATTAGGACGCAGCATGTGTTTACGGCCAAAGGGTATCCCGGGGTGTCGAAATACTATTGGGTGAACTGACAGTGGGCGGAGTCACACAGACCAAAACAAATACAGATATTCCAACACGGAACGCACATTTTAAAAGAAAATAACTGGCTGTAGAAGTGTTTTTCAGAGAGAATAGTATGTGAACTCAATATCTACAAACATATCATAGTAATTGTATGCTTTAGTTGAGTGAAAAAAGTTACATACAGCACCTTAAATGCGCCCCTGGCAACAAGCACTCTGCATGATTTCAAAAACACATTGCAGCACCAAATCGACTACTATTTATCACAAACGAACGAAATTAATACTCTAGTCAACTGGAGATGTTTCCTTTGTATGGAGTACATCTGTGCCACAAATGTTTAAAAAAGTGGTGGGGTCAAGATAGATTCAGGCAAAAAGTGGTGGGGAAATGTCCCACTTGTCCCACCTGCAAATTATGCCTAGTTGTCTTTTTCTCTGTGCAATGGTGCAGTTGATTAATTCATTACATAAAAGTTATTTGTTTCTCAAAAATAGAAACACATGCAAAGCCTATACATTACTAACCAAAAAAACAAAAAAACTCACAGAGGCTATTACATGTATAGTCGGGACCTGATGTGAGATCCACCAATCAGAGAGGTTTCCAGAATCCCGATATTTTGATTGGTTACAATGACTGGAGAATATATCAGGTTTTTCTATGGGTGCTCGGCCATTTCTGTGGATGCTTAAGTGCCCTAATTATTATAATAATAATAGCTAATAAATCCTATGGTGTTGAAGAATTAATGGAGGGTTATGCTCCTTGGCAACTGAAGGTTGTCATGGAAATGCAATAGAAATTTGATAGTAGGCCTACACCAACCCATGTCTATAAAAAGCAAGAGTATTAGAATATCACAAATA